GCCCTAGGCTAGAGTAGTGTAGAATCTACAAGTAGGTTAGCGTAGGACTGTTGAGGACTTTTTGGCAGTTCACTTTCGCGATACAGCGTTTTGGAGCCAGGAGGTTTGTAGCGGCGATTGTCTGCAGGCGGTACCCTGAGACCCTCACCGTGGACGGCAGCCATAGCCAGCCTGCTGAGGGCATGCCATAGCTGGGGCATCCCCTGCGCATCAACCCCTGTGGGTTTCTGCGATTGGCTGGGCTGTGCGGAGACTCCTCACTGAGTCAGTGTGGGTGGCGGCAGCCATAGCTCCCGGTTCTTCGTCAGAGTTGTTCATCGGCACTGAAGACTTCATCGCCGGATCTGTTCTTCATCTGGGTGGTTGGCGCTGGCCTCTGGGAGGCCAGTTCAGTGTGGCGCTACTAACTGGGTGTAGGAGAGAGAGTGGAGAACTACTGGAACAAACTCTGTAACGATTTTTGGTTACTTGGCTCATCATCAGTGTGTATTCCAATTGTTATCCTCGCAGGTTCTTTCTTGTGATTGGTTGTTGGGAGTATCATCAGAGAGTGAGAAACACTGTGTGTCCTCTCCCCATCTGTGCATGGTTGTGCTTCCTCTATCTACTTTGATCTGTGTGCGGTGTGGACTCTGTCTCCTCTCCCCCTTCTCTTATGCATGTATGGGCGTGTATGAGACTGTCTGAGTGTGAGTGGCGGTAAAAATCGTCAGACAACCAAGTTCATAACATGAGTCATTGCCTGCTGGTTGGTTAAGAAATATTGCAATAAATCAATGCTGAAACTGAAAACGATGGATTTGATTTACGTGACAAGAACTAATGTAGGTCCCCACACTCGTGCAGGTCTTGGATGCGATTGGAGAGCCCATCGAGTCCATCAAATATGATGGTTGGATGGTGTACCTTCCAGAAGGAGACTTCATGACGCGCTTAGGGCCAGATAATTTTAAGCAGGTTTGTCACTCCTCATCATTCAGTCCTGGTTGCTGTTGCTTTTTGGAGTTTCAGACAAACTTGCGGAGTTGTTGTATTGAAGTTGTCTGCATGCCTAGGTGATGGTTACGGCTGAGGCGGGATTGTAACGATTCCAAGCATCATAAAACGTAATTTCAGTCTGGAAAAGGAGAAGGCCTCGCCCTTTGGGGATAGGTCCTGCTATCCTGGGAAGTGTCACCTACTGGTAGGAATTCATTTTCGATAAACAATGGGTTTTCTGGTTTGGCTACCTCCTTTCCCTCCTTTGTTTGGTGTTCCTCCTCCTCATCTCCTCCCTCTCCACCTATTCCTCCTGTCCTCCTCTCCTCTTCCTCATCCTCCTCTTTCTCCTTCCCTGCCTCCCAAGTTGGTCGTCCTTTCATCCTTGTACACCTTTGTATTGTCTGCCATGCACATGGTGGGAGGCAGGCTGAATGAGAACTGGAGAGCTAGGATACATATCCTTAAAAAAACAAGGCCACTGAAACCTTGACATCAGGGGAGAACCAGAGATGATGTTTTGGGAATATATGTGGAGCGCTTGGGATAAAGCTCAGTGATCTTGGGAAGAGGGGCCACCATATGCTTCTGGAAGCAGTACAAGTACGTTTGATTTCTTTTGCGACAGATTGACAATTTATAACCATACTGAGGCTACTTGTGGTTGGTTATGCTGGGTGCTACATCCCGATGAATAAAATGATATTGAGTCTATAATTGAAATCCCGAATTCTCAAACAAATCAATAGAGCAGGAACTTCTGTTAGCACCACACATGACAGTTTCCCGTCATGCAGCTCACACCCTAAAACCTTAGCCTTGTTTGTGGGCTCGGGTGATTGCAGGTGAACACAGAAAGTTTGACACTGTGAAGTCATTTCTAATCCATGCATCAATGGATGACAATGGATGTTGTTCCTTCTCTCCTGTTGTTTGCAGATTTTGCTGCAGATCTGTGGCCCAAAGGGTATCTCGGAGTGGGAAACTCTGCAGGTATGTTAGGACCTGCCAAACACGGACTGAGACACACAGCTGATTTCTGACAACGGAACACATGCCTTGCTGAGTTTCCCGCTTGTTGCTGAACTTTCTAAGTCTGAGTGTGTGCGTGCTTGTCGGTTTGAGTGTGTGTGTGAGACCCGCGAGGGTACGTTTCAGTGTGGAAGGCCCAAAGGGCCGGTACTTACCTGTGGCCGTGGCATTGAGGGTTGCAGTGGGGGAAAACACTCAAGTGGCGGGGAAGGAGGCCCGCGACACTTGAAGGAGCGGAAAAACACTCAAGCAGCAGGTAGGCCGGTACCACACCAGGTAGAGCTAGATGTGCCAGGTACTCGAGGCCGAGCAGAAGAAGACAAAGTTGGCATTTTTAGAGGCCCAGTAGTTCTAGGCTAGGTCTAGGCGGGTACCAGTCCAACCAGTCTGAGTCTAGGGCCTGTACGGCAATATCAGAGTCTGCAATGATGTTTTCCTCCGAAAGGGAGGAGGTACCGGTTGCTTGGTGGCCGCGCGGCCTAGGAACTCACTCACCAAGATGCAAGCAGGCCGCTATATCTCCAGGAGGAGTGAGGTGCTTCTCCTCGTTGTCGGTGTGCAAGTTTGGCGACACACTGGTTGGAGCGCTGGCTGGAGCAGCGCTAGCATCAAGAGTAGCACTGCTGGGGAGGAGCAAGGACAGGAGGAGGAAGAAGACCAGGACTAGGAGGGAGGAACGCCAGATGTACTTACCTGGCTATGGTGGATGCCATCTCCATCACCTTGGTGGGCGCTGCATCTGGAAGGTGACCATTGGGGTAGAGCTACAACAAGAAGCTTTGAGGCAGAGTCAGGCATGGCGGCCTGAGCTAGAGCAGCCATAGCTGCTTTGTGTTGTCCTTTGCACAGCAGGGCGGTGCCCTGGTAGTCCGCCATAGCCTCGGCCGTGGAAGGAAGAAGAAGGGTGGCCATGGCTATGGTGGGGACCTCATGTGATGCCTGCAGTAGAAGAGGGATTCTGACATTGATTCTGATTCAGCCATTCAACAGTAGAGGAGTGAGAGTGAGTGCACAAATGCGTGTACGTGTGTGTTTGTGTTTGTGTTTGTGTTTGTGTGTGTGTGTGTGTGTGTGTGTGTGTGTGTGTGTGTGTGTGTGTGTGTGTGTGTGTGAGAGAGAGAGAGAGAGAGAGAGAGAGAGAGAGAGAGAGAGAGAGAGAGAGAGAGAGAGAGAGAGAGAGAGTCACCGTTAGGACCATAGTTACCACAATTAGTGCCTCTCTGATTGAGCCACAGGCTGCCTTTCGCCGTCACCATAGTTACGACAATTAGCGTATCTCGGATTGAGCCACAGGCACAGCCAGCGTTTCCTTTAAGGCAAATGCCTTCTTCAAGAGTGTGGTTGCAGCCTCTAATGTGTAAAGTAGGATTGTTAGACCGCCAGTGCATCGCCCAGGCAAACTTGAGAATCGAAATCGATCCAATCCAAAATTTTTGGGGGTTGGGGTGGCGATCCACAATGGCTGGCCGCATCAGTCAAAAAAGAAGACGAAGTGCACTCGTGGCGATTCAGCAAAGCTTGGCGCGCAGTGCGGATCCGCCCCTGCAAAATGAGGCTCGGGTGTAAATCGAGTTGGTTAGAAGGATTTGCATACTCTTGTTCTGTCTGTATCACCGGCAGAAAAGAATCATGGATAGTCCCTGAGGGTATGCATGAGGTGCCTGTCCTGTTTTGCGCTGTGATCTCTGAATATCTGCACACAAAATCATGGATGATATGGTCTGCAGTAACAGACTAACAGTCTAGTTCCTTTTCATTCTTGAAACAACTATGGGGATCGTAAAGCATGTTGAATATTTCAATGTCTGTCAGTGAAGGTTATCATGCTTCGTTGCTCAACTAGGCAGGCTGTTTAGTTAGAAGTTGGACGGGTTCTTGGATGTTGATGACTGTTTCCCCATCTACCTCACTTCTCTCCTTTCCTCCTCACATGGATTTGTTGCGATTTCCAGTTTTCCTGTTAGGGCTTGCTGTTGGGGCTTTGCAATATTTGCAATTTCTGGATTTCTGCCGTATGATTCTAATATCATTGTATGCTCTGCTGCTTGTGAAGTCTGTAGTTGAAAATTGAACTTGCATCTATCTATGACCTGTCTTGCATCATCCAGGCGGCTGTGTCTCCACTTGCAAAGTCTACAATGGCCTTGCCTCCAGCGGCAATTCGTGGGGATGCCGGAGTTGCGATCACTGGCTTTGCACGGTATGCGGGATCAATGTTACAGATAATTGCAGAAGGTGGCCCTGCGGCAATCCTTGGGTACCCAAGACTTCTGGGTCCTTTCTCTGATTTTGTTAGTTCAGTTGGTGTATCAGAGAACTTTGTCCTGAACTGGATTGATCTCTTGTGCTTCCTGCTCTCGGGGCTTAAGGCAGATGCCACTCTAGCAGCTGAAGTGGTGAGTCCTACGGCACTTTCTCTGCAACTGAGAGGAAAAGCAGCAACAGAAGCGAACGAACCCTGAACAAGCTAAAGCGAGAGTCAAATCTGTACAGTCAAATAATACTAGATTCCTTCTTCTTGTTCTTCTTCTTGTTCTTCTTCTTGATCTTCTTCAACCTACAATATTATTTTTGAATTTTTTGTGCATCTGGGGTGTTTTACAGCACGTCAAAGTCCATGGTGTGGCCAGTCGTGGGTTATGCGATCGGTTGATTGCACTGCGCACAATTCTTGACAACTGGAGCACAGGTTGAAAAGAAGTAAAATTGAACCATGGCCCATGGTCGCTAACACACCTGAAGGAGGAGGAGGAGGAGGAGAGGAGGAAAATTAGAGAAGTGGGAAAGGAAGTAGACAGGAGAGATGACGTAAGAAGAGCCTCGCTGCACCGCACACGAAACGAAGAAGAAACAAGTGCATCCACCCATAGAAGGTGTAAAATACATTCGTTACCTAGGCTACCAGCCAGGCCGCCCGGATCACCTTGTTTGCCCGGGCGGCCCGGCCGTGCAAGGGCCAAAGAAGGTCCCAGAAAAAAAAAACTATCAAAAAAAATCTGAAAAACAAAAATGTTATGCAGAAAAATAAACTGAACAACGTTTGCCTCAGGGTCAAATCAAAATTCCTTGCCAAAATTTAAATAAAAATTGAAAAATATTTTTTTCATTTTTATTTTTTCAATGTTTTTTGGCCCGGCCGGACAAGTGGTCTCGGGCCACTCTAGTAGCCTAGTTCGTTACTATTTAAATAGTATTTATGCTAAACGGATGAATCATTCCATTTTCTGCAGGAAGATGCACTCGTATCGTTTCTTTGTTTCCTGTGCCGTGCGGCGAAGCATAAAATCAGGCATTGATCGTGCGTGCAATTGAACCAGGAATCGTAACCTGACTTTGTGTCCCTCATGGTCGTGTGATGTCCTGAGGCAAATGTGAGCTCTGTGGTGCTTGTGCAGGACGTAGGGGGAGACATTAGAAATGCTAAAAAAAAGTGACAAATGTAGATTGAACATTGCGAGTGTGGTGTTCCCCCCCTCCTCCGATAAAGTGTCCACAAAGAACGGAAGAAATGTTTGCGTTTTGTTTTGTATGATGTGTTTATGCGGTTGATTTGCGACAAGATAAATTCATCATTTTTAGATTTGGTGATTGGAGTTAGGCATCATGTTCCCTAAAAGCACGGAAAGAAACGTACATGATATGTTTTGTGTCTGTTGTTTTAAGTGCAGAGGAAAATTGTGCTTTTTTTTGTTTTGACTGCTGTGTATGTAACCCTGATTGACTTCAGTGTTCATGCCTAATTTTACATTTGGCAATTGATGGATTTAGGCTGTATGCGTCCGGGAAGAACATAGAGAACCATGCTGGTTGTGTTTTGTTGTGCTGCTTAGGAGTTGGGGATAGTGCCGAGTTTGTGGCGATATGTGCCTTTTTGTGTTGTGTATATGGGTGGGGTTCAACAATATTTTTCATCAATTGACTTTTGACGAGTTGTCGAACCAGAATGTATGTGCCCGGGAGAAACAACAGGAACATGTGTATTCGTCATGTGTGTGTAGCTTATGTGATGGGGAAAACAACGGTTCATGTCTGTTTCCTCTGAGTGATGTGTATATGCCATTCAATTTGGTTTGTGACAACATTTGTTCGTCATTTGTAGATTTGGCAAGTGACGGTGTTGAGTGCATCGGCTCCCGCCTTTTTGCAAAGGTGCGGGAACCCTCCCGACCATGTCACGCATGAGTTAAACAAAAAAACTAAGAGACAATTTGGGAACAACGCAAAATAACCCCGCGAACCGCCGAGATGGTCGCGGAAGCGTGGTCCCTTCGCCGCTCTAGCCGGGTGCGCTAACTATACATCCCGTGGTCCTCTACGACAGGATAGGTTCCCGCGGGGTATAAGCTTTCCTTCCCTAAGGGGTTGTCACCACCCTTAGGGGTTGTCACCACCCTTAGGGGCGTATCCCTACCGAGCTATTGACCCACATGCGAAATTTTTTAAATGCAATCGCAAAGGTAGATCAGCCGAGGGCGTTTGCTCGTTCGTTGTAGTATAGATACGCTTGGTTAACGCCAAGTGTACCCGGTCGTCGTCCGTCCCTTAGGGCGCTGATCTCCTAAGTACAAAGCAAACGACTTTCGACTAGGACGGTCTCAACCAAGCGTGAAACTCGTTAGTAATCCTAGTCCCTCAGACACACCGTCAAAGGAAAATTAAAACATCCATATATATATAATTATATGAAAAGGATCGACCGTAGTTGACAAAGATAAATATTCAATTTGAAATGACAACTAAAAGAATTTGAATCACCATACGATACATCCAAAAATAGAAGAGCAGAATAAAATCCGATCGCCTCAGGTCGAACACCACAAAACAATCAAACAACCGCCAACAAGGAGTTGGCTACCAACAATAACATTGATGTAGCTGAGAAGGTAATCGGCTACCTTAGTTTCGACTTGATGAGACTCGTTACCAAAGTCAGTCATTCCATCCTACCGCTGACCTAAGATTAGGCATGCATTCCCGTCTTCATACATTTCCAATCTTATTGGATGACAAGCTACTTTGCGGACGATTCTTGATCAGGTGCATTGCTTGATGTGTTGCATGTCTCCCCCTCTAGGAGTGGTCTGGGGTACTCCTCGTCCGAGCACAAGACTCAGATCTCAGAAGTTGGGCTGTCTCCACCAAATCGGCGAAGTACCCCCCCGTAGAACGGTCCACTCTGGGTCGATAACAGGGCCGACTCCTGAAGCAACGAACCCCTGCCCCAAATGCTTCCTAGAGATAGAGGATGTGTCCACTGCAAGTAGTTCTCAATTATTTTTGTATCTCCTGAGTTCAGGGTAGCTTAGACGAAAAGAATCGAAGGAGATAGAGAATGAGAATCAGTAGTCCGCCATAGCTGCTTTGGGTTGTCCTTTGGACAGGAGGGCAAGGCCTTAGTAGTCCGCTATAGCCTAGGCATGAGAGAGGAGGAAGAAGGAGGGAATCCATAGCTATGGTGGACAGGAGGGCAAGGCCTTAGTAGTCCGCCATAGCCTAGGCATGAGAGAGGAGGAAGAAGGAGGGAATCCATAGCTATGGTGGACTTGTTGTTGTTGTTGTTGCTGAGTCAACAGTAAGAGGGAATTTCGGATATTGATTCTGGTTCATCCACTCATTGTTACTATTATTATTGGGAGAAAAATAAGATTGGCGAAGTGAAGGAGGAGGAAGGTGGAGAGAGAAGGGGGAATTGTCATTGGTCTTGCTGGTGTACATCTTCTTCTTCTTCTTCTTCTTCTTCTTCTTCTTCTTCTTCTTCTTCTTCTTCTTCTTCTTCTTCTTTCTCTCTCCTCTGGTTCTATCTCTTTGCAAGTGCGTTCATTTCTTTCGCAATTGGGTGGCATTGTCTTTCATTGTGAATTTGCACTTTGGGAATGACCAGGATCGTAACAGATCATAGAACACATTGAAGTAGAGAATTCGTAAAAGTACAAGTCGTCAAAAAAATCCAGGCGGAATTACACAAGAGTTTCACAAAATTTGAAGCCAAAACCAATGCTGCAATATGATTACAAAGTGTTGAAGTTCTCAAAATAATCCTTAAGCTGAACAGCATGGAGAAATGGGGGAGAAAAGAGGCGAGATAATAAATTACAGCTGTTAGCAGATGCAAATAGAAGCCGCATGTCGCCTTGAAAAAGTAGCGCGAAATCAGTGACGCCTGCTGATGATGCTCAACCGGTTTCTACCACTCAGCAGGAACAGCATCATCAGGAGCTTGAGGAAAGATAGATCGAGAAGGGCTTAAATAGGTGGAGGGAGAGAGAGAGAGGGGGGGGGGGGGAGGAGTCCAGCAAAAAGAGGG